CTAATGCTTGAATACAAGGTATGCCTTGTTTCTCTTTCCCTAATAAGAAGTAATTTATATACTGAATCCATCTTCTCCAAGTCTTGCTCTTTCTGTCTTTATAAAGATTAGCACACAAGAAAGTAGTCTCACTGCCTCCTTTTTACCTGCACTCTGCAATAATCAAAGCTATTTGCAAAGAAGAACATTTTTCCACCACTTGAGAGACAGATAGGATTCATCCATTATATAAATTTCATAGCAAATTTGTTTTTTTTTTGCTAAATACCGTCTATAAATCCAGCGAAGGTTTTAAACTTTGAATTATGATTTGGCATAAAGCCATTCCTGGTTTTAATCATGATCAGTTGAACAAGCTATAGTGATTTATTCCACCTCCTAACTTACTTATACCAACTTATACTGTTGGAAGAAATATCCTTCTGGGTTCAGTTCCAAGTGGGGAAAAAAGACACTGGAAACATGGAGACTGCTTGGAAAGATAGTTTAATGGTGGACAGGATCACATGGTTTGAGTTCCTGAACAGAAAAGGGGCGAGATACAGCGAGTCCCCAGGTTTTATGGTTTCTCTGGCTTTGAACCTCCTGGGGCCCAGAAAGAGTATCCTGATTGGTTGTCAGACTCCCAGGGGGTGGGGGTCTTAGCTAGCCTTGCTGGCTGATGTAATCTTCCCAGGTGCCATATGGTGAGTTTCTGTCCTAGATGGGTCCCATTGTGTTAGTTTCTGTTGCTATTGTGTTGCAGATTATGGCCCATTAACAAAGGTGTGTGTGGGGGAGGCAGGAAGCTGCTTTGTCTTTAAAACATGTTTTTCCATTTCTCATCCAGGGAAATATAATATTCTGCCTTTTTAATATTTCCTAAAATATTTCATTCTTCCAGGAAAGGGGTGGGTGCTAACTTCCTACAATACAATAATGTACAAACAGCTGGGTTGTGAGTTGGAATTACGGAATATCTAAATAATCAACTGCCAAGATTTCAACTGCTCCAGATTAACTGATTAATATTGCAGCTCTGCTAAATATGTATGATAATGAAGCAATCTTCGCCCACGAGGATATTACCCTAATCAAGAGCAACAAAAGAGCAAACAAACTAGCCTATCGAACCCAGTATCAGATTTACTCCTTTTCTTAGATTGGCATTCCTGAAAGTTAAATACTGCAGCCTGCTGTTAAATCCAGGTATTGTCATAGTTATACATTAATAGAAAGTTTTTAAGCTCATATAATTTCCAAAGCATAGCTATACATTGTAAGAAGAGAGCCATGTTCAATCTGAGTTAGCCTGGAATTAGAAGAAATCTAGTAGCCCCTTTTTGAGACTACTAAATATAATTAAAAAGTATCAGCTTTGCAGTGAAAACAATCAGTGGTATGGCTTGCTTTCAGAAGTTGTAGGTGCTCCATCACTGGAGGTTTTTAAGAAGAGATTGGACAGCCATTTGTCTGGAATAGTATAGGGTCTCCTGCTTGAACAAGGGGTTGGACTAGAAGACCTCTAAAGTCTCTTCCAACTCTGTTATTCAGTTTTCATGAGCTGCAGGTCACAAAAGAAAGGCATCTGATGAAGTGAGCTTTGGTTCACAAGAGTTCATGTCTTTGAATAACTGGGTTGTCTGAAAAGTTTAGCTAGTATTCTCTAACCTGTTCTTCATATATTTAGACTGTGATTCTAAATGCATTTACGGAGGAAGCTTTTCTCAAATTCCCAACATCCAATACAATTGAGTCACCTGGATATGTTTGTTCTTTGAGCGATGTTGACAGGCAATGAGGATATGGGTCCAGAGAGGTCAGCAACATCCTCAGGTATGACACAGTACTGAGTAATTTGATGTGCAAAAGCTAATTTAAAAATAGAAAGGACTGGAGTTGTACGATAAACACAACCAGAATTGTATATGTGTCAACCTGTAGAGTGATTGGGGCTGGCGTGAACCCCCCCTTTTTTTGTTCTTTTTTTTTTAGTTCTTTTTAGCTTTTTAAGTGTAAATTGGGTTTTAATTGGATTGTTTTAAATTGTGGGGCAAAGCTGTATAATTCTTTTAATTGATTTTAAATTTTGTATTGGTATGTTTTTTATCCTTGGCTGTGCACCGCCCTAAGTCCAAAAGGAGAAGGGTGGTATATAAATTGAATAAATAATAAATAATAATAACATGTAGAGTGATTGGTGATCTCAGAGTTTGTTTGTTTGCAGGCATTTCATTAACTGATTAGGTAACATCATCAGTGTTCAACATACTATTAAGTATCACTTTTTCATTACCAAGGTTTCATCATGTTCATCAAACTCTGACAGTCTTGCATGATCTGATGTAAAATTTCTGAAATTTCAGAAGATCACACACAAAGTTAGAATTATGCAAGACTTGGCAATTCTGTGAGATTTTGTGCATTTTTTTTTAAATATAATGTTGAGATTGCAACAGAAAACATTTTGGCATTACCCTCTCAAATTCTAATCATATAAAAGTACAAGGTTCTTTTTCAAGCATCCACAGCTTAATGTGATTTTAGCCTCTGTACTCAGCTCAACAAACCATAGCTAAAGCAAACCTTGCTTTAGCATAATATCTGAACTCAGTCATAATCTGGATTTTTATGTTAACATATTAATATTTAATATTAATATAGTAGCTCTAGATTTATCCTTAGCCAGTGGAATTGTTCTTCGGGTTTAATAAATCATCAGGCTTTAATTTAGATAATCAAGCCTCACATAGGAAACCTGCTTGGAAAAGGATTCTGGTACTCTAATTTTTTTTATCTGGAAAACTTCTCCGAAAATTTCATTGCTACTTATTCATCAAGCCTTTGGTATGGAAATACTCTTTCAGGTATCACAAACTTTGTTCTCTAGTTTCATTCTCCTAGAGGGGCTAATGTTTCTTCTGTGCTTCAGTTTTACATCCCATTTCTGAGCCTTTTCCCATATTAAAATTAATTCAGTTATGCTGGTAAATACACTCCTGCTGATCACACAATACTGAGTACAAGCTGCATTTGTCTACAATTCTAGGCAATGCTTGGAAAAGAAGCCCATTCTTCTGTCTCACATCATTCGGTAGTGGTAGGATATTATTTGTTTATTTATTTATTAAATTTATACATTGCCCATCTCACTGCCAAGTGACTCTGGGTGGACAAACCTTTCTATTTCTGCTGTGCACTCTTCTCTTTCTTCCTATTAGAATGCTTGCTTCCTGCCATTATCAATTCATTTAGGGGATTAGTTCTGTTATTGGAGTACAGCAGGGAAGATCTGGGTTTGAACTCCAGTTCAACCTTTAATCAATAAATCTCTTTTTGGAGCTTGGTTGTTTGCTTGCAGATGCTTTATTAAAAGGTAACGGTAAAGGTTCCCCTCGCAACATATGTGCTAGTCGTTCCCGACTCTAGTGGGTGGTGCTCATCTCTGTTTCAAAGCCGAAGAGCCAGCGCTGTCTGAAGACATCTCCGTGGTCATGTGGCCGGCATGACTCAAAGCCAAAGGGGCACGGAATGCTGCTATCTCCCCACCAAAGGTGGTCCCTATTTTTCTATTTGCATTTTTTACGTGCTTTCAAACTGCTAGCTTGGCAGAATGTGGGACAACTAACGGGAGCTCATCCTGTTATGCAGCACTAGAGATTCGAACCGCTGAACTGCCGACCTTTCGATCAACAAGCTCAGCATCTTAGCCACTGAGCCACCGTGTCCCATCAGATGCTTTATTACCTAGTCACAACTGACTAGGTAACATCTTCAGTGCTGAACATCAAGAGTGATGATGTTACTTAGTCAGATAAAGAAATATCTGAAAGCAAACAACCAAACTCAGAGAACAGACTCCTCAGTTCAACTCTGAGCTCCAGATATTCTCTTCTATTGAAATCTCTTCTCATTTACAAGCTTATTGTGAAAGAGAAAACAGACCTTGATTGAATTATCTTGGGTTCATGTGGAGTAATGTATATCACTCTGAAAAGTGCCTATCTACATTTCAGAGATGGCATCAGCTGAGAGTTTTGGGTATGCAACATGGGATGTATTGCTATATGGGATGTCTGATGGCAGCCAGAGATACAATTCCAGTGTCAGCGTTCCAGAACAACCCAACTCTAATTAAAAACTCTGAGACGGGCATTTTCTCAAAGTTCCCATTTATTAGAGTAGGCATACTGGCACATCTGGGAAAAACCCAATCTGAGAGTTCCAGTTTTTTCCTCAGTAAATCAAAATCCCAAATCCAGCCCTTTGCACCCATCAGTCCATCACATGGCACAAGCACCATCCATCCCAACTTGAGCCATCACTGCAACCACTCCTCCTCCAGATGCAGGAACACTATGATCTTGACCAAAGGGAAGAATGTTATTCTGTCTAACTACAATCCCTCTACTAGATCCCCCCTCCTACTTTCCCAAGCACAAGTAGGTGGCAGCATGGAAACTTCCTGGGTTAATATGGCTTCCAAAGCTGACAAACTGCATGTGAGGCTTTTTTTTTGAAGTTAGGTTGCCCCCCCTTGATGCACAATGATGTTCTTGCTTAAGCTGCTGGCCCAAATTTGGGGATTGACAGTATACCACAATTTCTGGAGTACACCAGATTTATGGTGCTTGGGGATTTCATCTAAACCAAAATCAAGCAAAGCATATTATGGCCTAAAAAATGCAGGGACTAATGCTATGGATATAACTTATAACATATTCAGATATTATAAATTCAGTTGTGTAACTAAACCCAAGGAAGGAAAGCTTGTATTGGTTTTAGTTCTTTTAACTAACTAGTTGCTCTAAAAATAAGGTTCATCCCTGCTAAAACATTCCCTGTATAAGATTATCTCCATAAAATGTGTATTAGTTTCTCTGACATAGAGATAATATCCTGCCCAGCTGGTGTACAAAGATGACCTCACAGAGGCCTAGGGGTACAGGTAAGCAGGCCCAGAAAAAAGGGCAATAGGCCCATGACATCACAGATATACTGCCCCTACCAAATAGTTATACAGTTAAAGGGTGATGCCAAGTTTCTCAGCAGACAGTGAAAGCTGAAGTTGGGAGTTCAAGAGGACTCAAGTAGCAATGGATCTATGAAAGTGAGTGTGGTACCAGTGAAGGGTTCCATTATTTCCCACATTTACAGAGAGAAAAAAGCCTATCCTGGTAATATCAGGAATACAGGAAATTAGTTAAACAGTAGGCCAAATCAGCAAATACATATTTTTTTATTTATTTATTAAATATTTAATAAATATTATTTATTAAATTTATCGACCGCCCATCTTACCCCAGGGTAACTCTGTGCAGCTTACAATATTAAAAGATAAAACTATCTAAATAAAATACTACAAAAATATAAAAATACAAAATATAATGGCTAAAAGATGGGGAGGGCAGGAGTAGGATGAGGGGGGGCGGGGCAGGGGGGATCTGATATTAATCTATCAACCACTTCCAACATGAAACCCCTCCTTTGGAGCCCCAAGACAACTGGCAGAGCCTGATTTTTAGGCTCTTATGGCAGGTCAGGAGGTTTGGAGCGGACTTCACTCTTGGGGGCAAGATGTTCCAGAGGGCAGGAGCAATGGCAGAGAAGGCCTTTCTCCTAGACCTTACCAATAACTCCTCTCTTGTCTTTTTCAAACTTCTGATAGACATCTAACATATCAAGAAGATATTCCTGACAGGGGTGGGTTTTACTTACCTTTACTACCTGTTCGGATGCGCAGATCACATCTGATGACGTCCAGGTCAGTGGGCAGAGCCTCCCGCTGGTTTTACTACTGGTTCTTGCAAACCGGTCCGAACCGGGGGCAACCCATCACTGATTCCTGATCCACATAATATTGCCATATTCAGTAGCTATGGTTAGTTTCCCTCCATTGACCTTTCTGAATATCTTTAGTTTGGATGGCTTTTCAACTTATTGATTTAGCTCTGTTCTTTTTATCTTGCTATGTTATTGTTTTATTGTAGTTTTCAAATTTTTTTGTATATAGTCCAGGCAACGTTGATGATGAGGTAGCATAATAATAGCTAAGCAAGCCAACCAAGAAATAGAAAATAATTTTGTGCCATAAGTACCTGAAGATATCTTTAAAGAGCATAAAAACATTGCCGATCTTGTGATCCATGTACTCGCAAAAATTACATTTCAAGCCACAGACTCATTGAGTCCCCATATTTCTCTAAACCAGTGTTTCTGAAGCTCAACAGCTTTAAGATGTGTGGACTTCAACTCCCAGAATTCCCTGTCCTGCATGCTGGTCACTGACTCTAATAAATTTCATGTTCAGAGCTGCTGCTGATGTCATTTTATAGTTGCTTCTCTAATTTGAGCAGATGTAGCTTTACAAAAAAGATACTCTATGGCAGTAGTAGTTTTCACTTACCTTTGCTACCAGTTCGGAACTGTGAGCGTATGCCCACGTGTGCTTGCTTCGCTCGCTTGCGTCACTTCTGTGCATGCACAGAACCAGGGGTGAAATGTAAAATTTGTTACTACTGGTTCTGTGGGCGTGGCTTGGTGGGGGTGGGGGTAATGTGACTGGGTGGGCGTGGCCAACTTTTTTTTTTTTTAACTTTTCAAAGCATTTTTTCTAATGCTTTGAAAAGCCTCTGCGACCAGGAAACTCAGCTGGGATCATCAGAGACTTTTCAAAGCATTTTTTTTACCACCTCTTCAGCCAAGAAGTTGCAGAAAAAAATGCTTTGAAAAGCCTCTGACGATCCCAGCTGAGCTGCGCGATCATCAGAGGCTTTTTTTTTCTTTTAAAAGCATTTTTTCGTCGGAAGAGGTTGTAGAAAAAATGCTTTTAAAAGTAAAAAAAAAAAGCCTCTGATGATCCTGTGGCTCAGCTGGGCATGGTGGCGGGGGTGGGGGCGCAGGGATTTTTGCTACTGGTTCTCCGAACCACCCGCCGCCATCGCTACTGGATCGGGCGATCTGGTCCGAACCGGGAGCATTTCACCCCTGCACAGAACCTTCTGTGCATGCGCAGAGCGTCCATGATAACATCCAGGTGAGTGGGCAGAGCCTCCTGCTACCGCTGCTACCGGTTCTTGCGAACCAGGGCGAACCGGTAGAAATCCACCACTGCTCTATGGCCATTGCTCAGAGGTGATTGGTCTGTCAAGATATATTTCCCAAGTCAGTTTTGTCTTTGAAAGAGATGTTTTTATAATATCTGTTAAACTTCTATAAAGGGATGAAGCTAAATTGATTAATTGCAGGTAGGCATAACTTCTAAAAAATGTGGACTCATTTGGAATTCCCTGTTGTGTAATTAAAATAGAAGCAATGCCTATAATTTGATATTATTGTATCCATATTGCATGCAGTTCATCTTGCTTATCTCGGTAAAAGCACTTTCACTGTGGAAACAATCTTTTAACCTAAAAGCTTTTGCAGGCATCCAATCTTTATGTAGTAAATAGCTATCTTTATATAGGTAGTAGGGATGATCTAAAAAAACAAAAATCAAAGGAGGGAAAAAAGGAAATAAATATTTCATCTGCAGTTGCTTGGCCATTAAACCACTTAGTAATGCGTTTTATTGAAAAGCAATTTACCACTGTAAAAGGGAAGAGCACATATTTCCATTTACTGTCTCAGTTATGTCCCAGGAGATAGTTCCATTATCATGCAGATAATGGTGATGCAGATGCATTAATTGATTTAGTTGAAATGCATCAAATTCAAACTTCAGATTAGGTGTAGCAAAGCTTCCTTGACACTTCAATCAGTTTAAAACAGAACTGGCAGATCTAATACGATTTCTCACACTTTTCCATTCAGAAAGTTTGTTCTTAGATAGAAGTAATAATTTGGTATTGAAAAATAATAATTTGGGAAGTATCATCATTTTAATTAGCATAGATCTTTCTAAAACTTGAGAAGGTTTTTTTCCCACCTTCATTTTGATCATTTTCCCCTTTAACCAGCACGAGAAGATAGAATTCCAATTTAAAGTTGTTCTATATCTTTTAAGGACAATAATTCTTAGAGATTTGATTCAGCAATAGGTGAGTTTTAAATGAGCTATGTATTCTGTGTGTATTTTTTAGTTTCTATGTTTCATTTCTTTTCCTATGTTAATTTTGAAAACCAAGATTATCCAGATTATATACAGAGTACTACTGACTGTGGATGGGAAGTAAAAATATATACAGTATGCCAATACTACAAATGTTAAGTTGATAGGATTTATTTTTAGTGTTATTGTAACTTGTGAAGAAATTCATAACAGATTGGGTGTCTAACAAGGAAAGGAAAATGTATGGGGGCAAGCATAGAGGGGCAAATATATTTATGCAGGTATGTGAACAGGTATAATGGATGACTTGTATGAAAGGCCTTGGGGAAAGAGAGGGGGAGATGCTGCCTAGGAAACAGATAAGAGAGGCAGGAGCCCCAGCATCTTAATGATCAAGGAAAGAAACTTAGGAAGGACCTGCCCTAATGGATCAAGCAGTTGAGAATAGCAGTGGGAAGTTTGTGCATTCAGACTTTCAAGGTTCTGTTAATGTAGACTTATGAAAAAATATAATTAATTAATCTTGTTCTGTTTCCTCTCTGGTTAAGCAGAGAAGGCTGACATTTTCAAATGATGCAAATCATAATGATGCACTATTGATGTATTTTATCTATGTTGGATGAAGTTATCATGCATGTTATACCATCATGGCTTCCATCAAACTCCTAGGTTGTAAAATGTAGACTATGGCTTTATTTCAATTGCAAACAACAGGAGGACAGGAGCCTTAGACCCCTTAGATCTAAGAATGGCTCTTGAACTGGCATACATCCTTCTAATTTATAAAACTATTCCCGAGTTCTAATTCTGAAGCCAGGTTAATCTTCAAACACCTTGAGTGCATCTAAAATGAAAAAGTTAAAGCCGTAAGTGTAGAATTAATGACTATGATTCCATATCCTGTGAATAGAACCAGTCAGGTTGTTTACAAGCATAAATGAGGTAATAATGTTGTTGAACCTTTTGGTTAAAATTGCAGCTGTCTTTTTTTTAATCTTAATTTAAAAGTGTAATTGGGTAATATGAGCCAACCTCCTCCTACTGTTGAGGTAGCACATCAATATGGTCATTTTTCCAGCTTTCCAGTATGATGTTTTCTTTTAGAATAAGTAATAATATAATATATAAAATAAAGTTATACAGTATTTGTCAATATAAATTAACAGTCTTTAAATGACAAACAAGCACATCTTTAATATTTTGTAGAAATTAAATTAAAAACATGCCTGGCTCTGAAGTTCAAGCAAGAGTATCTCTCTTTGAGGGACAAGAACGGTTTCTAAATTTGACAAATAAATACATAAAAATAGAATTATTTACATTTATGGATATAAATTTGGTATCCGATATCAGTTAAAAATTTCAGATAATGAAAGATTTAAGAAAAAAAACATCTATAACAAAATTTTTAGAATATGACTCTAAAGACCAATAATCCAATTAATTTAATAACACAGAGATGGTTCTAAAAAAGATTCTTCATATCAGAGAAATAAAGTAACAGTATCTAATCATGCCCAATTTGCCATTATGAGTTTAATGCAGTTGTTAGGATCAAAGTTTTATATTGTAATGTTAGATCTAATACCTACTTTTGTATGCAAAACAATACAGAAATTATTATTATTTAAGGTTGAAAAGTTCTGGATATTCTCGAATGCAGTTGGTAGGATCAAAGTTTTATGTTGTAATATTAGATCTAATACCTACTTTTGTATGCAAAACAATACAAAAATTATTATTACCATGTTTCCCTGAAAATAAGACCCTGTCTTATATTTTTTTAAGCCCTAGAATAAGTGCTTGGCCTTATTGCAATGCGCTCAAAAGCCCAATTGGACTTATTATCAGGGGATGTCTTATTTTGCGGGAAACAGTATTTAAGGTTGAAATGTTCTGGATATTCTCGAATGCAGTTGTTAGGATCAAAGTTTTATATTGTAATATTAGATCTAATACCTACTTTTGTATGCAAAACAATACAGAAATTATTATTATTTAAGGTTGAAATGTTCTGGATATTCTCGATTTATGACCACAATTGAATCCAAATTTTCTGT